CTGGTTCAATTCACTCGCATGCAGAACGGAAGCACGATCCACGCCGACTTCAAGCCTGTCTCCCCGGATGAGCGCGCTCCCAACAGTATTTGTATCAGCTGCATCTACTGGGAAGGCAAAGACGAATGCTTCGTCACAAGCGTGGACACCATCTACCTTCTTGAATCCCTCGTTGGTGTCCGTTTCACGGTGGAGGAGAAGAATCGCATCCGCAGGAATTTGGAGGGCTTCCGACCCCTCACCGTCTCCAAAGCCAAAGCAGATAGTGAAGACTTCTTCAAGGTTATTATGGGCTTCCCCGCCCCCAAACCTCGAAACATTGAGAAGGATGTGAAAGTCTTCCCTTGGAAAATCCTCAGCCATGCACTCAAGAAGATCATTGGCAAATACGTAAGTACACTCTTCAGAATTCCCTCAGCTATGCAGTGATCCTCTAACGCAGGGTGGCCTTAGTCTGCAAGTTACTCATCGACCGCTGGGGCGCTGCCAACGCCAATCAGTTCCACCTTTGCTGGCAACGGAGCAGCGTCGGACTCTGGTACAGAGCCGTACGCTGCAGCTTCTCCCCAGTCGGTTTCAGACGCTGCTCCGTCCAGCAGCTACTGTCATAGCATTGCAACACCAGCCTACTCTCCGCCCGCTGGCTCCTCGGGTCCCCCCATAACCGGAACATCTGAACTGCGAGCTGTGCTACCTGCTGTCACCCAACCGTATCATAGTATGGCATCGGGATACGCATATCCCGCTGTCTGCCAGCAACAGGGCCAACTCTCACTCACAGCTCCTGTCGGTCGGCCGTCATGGGATCCCAACAGTCTTGCCCATCATCCTTCGGCAAGTGCGGCCCCCAGTTATAGCTATCTAGCTCCTTTGCCTTACTCGTTACCCGACCCTTCCCACGGGTGTTGATTCTCCAGCTTGTCTCGCACTATGGTTCAATAATACTTGGTCGCTGGAGCATATAGGGGTCCCCTATATCGCTTATCCCCACTGCATTTACCGGCGTTTTGGTCTGTTTTGTTTTATATTCGGTTTTGGTTGTTTTCGCGCTGTTCTCATTTGCGGCGGTCTTGTCCCCGGTCCCTTCTCGTCACTCCTTTGGTATTAGCCACGGCGCTTGGTTATGATCACTCGCAATGATCTCATGTCTCTCCTTGAATATCTTGATGTCTTAATGCCCGGAAATGTTCTTGTTCTCTGTTGATTCTCTGAGTTTCTGACATGGCATACGTTTAGACGGTGTGTTGTACATTCCTTTTTCTGTTTGGGAACTTGTGCGGGCATTATGATTCCACTCCTTGCGAAGGTTGTATATTATATGGCATTGCGTGGCGCTGCAGTCGTTCCTTTTGCATTTCGCAGGTCCGGAAAAAATCGTGCTTTTTTTTTTTTGGGACGGATCTAATGGACAGGTCTGGCGAAGGGACACAAGGATCTCTTGGGTTTAATCAGGTTGGATTTGTTCCTTTTTTTATCCGCCACCGCTCTGTGTATTTGGGCATCTGGTTGAATATACAGAGATTCGGCATACACGTCCTCGTTTGGTTTTGCGTGCATCTTGAGGCCGATGTTGGCACCTTGATAGTCCAGCTTGTATGCATAGCTAGGCGTCTGGGACATTCTGCTTTTTCAGTTCTGGTAATTAGTTCGGCTTCATTGATTGTCTTAGTTATAGCTATCCAAGAAGGATATTGAAAATAATTTGATTGTTTTTATTCGATTTATGTGGTGCAAATTGGGGATTGGATGCCTCAGGATGCTGTTTTCATCAACCAGTGTACGGTATGGTAACCGGAGTTCCTCACAGGGCTTTATCTTATCGGCAGTCACCTGATCGGCGGGACATCGGCGCATAAAGAAAAGAAAAGAGTGAGTCAACCAGGAACAGAACAGGACTGAGCCGAGAGTTGAGACTGACGCTGTGAGACCCTTGCCTCTTCTCCCTTCAATCCCCTTTCCCCCGCCCAATATCTCTATCTCCCTACTCCTTCAATTTCCTCTCCCTTAACATACTTTCTCTCACTCCTTCTCTACTGTCAATTCCTTTGATCCGTGACATTCTTCAAACTCTAAAATCCGCCCCTCGCATTGAGCAGTTCCCTGCTCCCATTCACACACACCATGGAAGGCATCAAGAGCACTTTTGCCAGGTGCAAAGAGCAGAAGCGCGCAGCCCTCGTAGCATACATCACAGCCGGCTATCCCACCGTCGAGGAGACGGTTGACATTCTCCTTGGGCTAGAGAATGGAGGCGCAGGTATGGTTCCTTACCCCGCCCCCTCATATTCGCCTCCCGGACCATGAAGACTCAAAATGCTAACGCGATCGATTGACTCTCAACAGATATCATCGAACTAGGCATTCCATTCACAGATCCCATCGCAGATGGCCCCACCATTCAGAAGGCCAACACCCAGGCTCTGGCCAATGGCGTCACCGTCACCACAGTTCTGAACATGGTCCGTCAAGCTAGAAGCAGAGGCCTCAAGGCCCCGCTGCTTCTAATGGGCTACTACAACCCTGTCCTGCGGTATGGTGAGGAGCGTATGCTCAAGGATTGCAAGGAGGCTGGTGTCAATGGGTTCATCATGGTCGATCTTCCTCCCGAAGAGGCGGTGCGGTTCAGAGATCTGTGTGCTAGCAATGGGTAAGTATTGCGTCTATGTGCGAGCATCCGACCAGGCGCGGGTTCGTTCTTCAATCCGGTGAATGATGCTAACTTGCTCTTCTAGTCTGTCTTACGTTCCGCTCATCGCCCCCGCCACCTCCGAGTCCCGTATGAAGCTTCTCTGCAAGATCGCCGATTCTTTCATCTACGTCGTTTCGAGGATGGGTGTCACCGGTGCGACGGGACAGCTGAGCTCGAATCTGCCCGAGCTTCTAAAACGCGTTCACCAATGGTCGGGTAATGTGCCCGCTGCTCTGGGCTTCGGTGTCAGCACTCGTGAGCACTTCTTGAATGTGCAGGAACTCGCCGAGGGTGTTGTTATTGGTAGTCAGATCATCACTGTCCTGGGCCAGGCCCCTGCCGGTCAGGCGGCTAAACACGCCGAGGAGTACTTGTCGGGTGTCACTGGCCGCAAGCTCGAGAGAGATGCTCAGGGTCTCTTGACTCGTGAGATCAACGTCTTGGAGGCCGTGGAGAAGGCTCAGGCACCGGCTGTCTCGCAGCCTACCGATGTTGTTACCGAGGCCGATACTCCCGCGGGTCCCGGATTGGCCGACCAGATCGACGCTCTCAATGGAATTGGTAACCCCGCTGCTCAGCCGTCGCGCTTCGGTGAATTTGGTGGACAGTACGTTCCTGAGTCTCTCATGGACTGCTTGGCCGAGCTCGAGCGCGGTTTCCAAGAAGCTCTGAATGACCCCAAGTTCTGGGAGGAGTTCCGCTCTTACTACCCATACATGGGTAGACCCAGCAGCCTGCATCTGGCCAATCGCCTCACTGAGTATGCAGGAGGTGCCAACATTTGGCTCAAGCGTGAGGATCTCAACCATACTGGCAGTCACAAAATCAACAACGCTCTCGGTCAGATTCTCATCGCTCGGAGACTGGGCAAGACCAGAATCATCGCTGAGACCGGTGCTGGACAACACGGTGTCGCCACAGCCACTGTGTGCGCCAAGTTCGGCATGAAGTGTGTCGTGTACATGGGTGCTGAGGATGTCCGCCGTCAAGCCCTGAACGTCTTCCGGATGAAGCTTCTTGGCGCCTCCGTTGTGGCTGTCGATGCCGGAAGCAGAACCCTGCGTGATGCCGTCAACGAGGCCCTTCGTGCCTGGGTTGTTGACCTGGACACCACTCACTACATTATCGGTTCCGCCATCGGACCTCACCCCTTCCCCACCATCGTGCGTACCTTCCAGTCCGTCATCGGTGAGGAAACCAAGCAGCAGATGATGGAGGCCATCGGCAGACTCCCCGATGCCGTCGTCGCTTGTGTCGGCGGTGGTAGCAATGCCGTCGGCATGTTCTACCCCTTCTCCAAGGACACCAGCGTCAAGCTGGTCGGTGTCGAGGCCGGAGGCGACGGTATCGACACAAACAGACACTCGGCAACCCTGACCGGCGGCAGCAAGGGTGTCCTGCACGGTGTTCGCACCTACGTCCTCCAGGACGAGCACGGCCAGATCTCCGAGACCCACTCCATCTCCGCCGGCCTGGACTACCCCGGTGTCGGGCCCGAACTCAGCTCCTGGAAGGACAGCGACCGCGCCCGCTTCATCGCAGCCACCGACGCCGAGGCCCTGATCGGCTTCCGCACCCTCGCTCAGACCGAGGGCATCATCCCCGCCCTGGAGTCCTCGCACGCCGTCTGGGGCGCCATGGAACTCGCCAAGTCGATGAAGACCGGCGACATCGTCCTGAACCTGAGCGGCAGAGGAGACAAGGACGTCCAGAGCGTCGCGGACGAACTACCCCGTCTGGGTCCCCAGATCGGCTGGGACCTGCGGTTCTAAGCTGCCTTCCTCAACCCGACCTCAATTGACCCTTCACTTATCTTGCTTATGAGCGACGTCTGGCACGACCCTTTTCCCATCTTCATATTTCTTTCGGTCTGCTTGCAAAAAAAGGACGGTGTAGTTTATATATAGCATCGGCGATGAGAAAAGCTCGGTGATGAATCATCCTTTTTCGGGGTCGCCTTTACCTCATGGAATTGCACGTGTATCTAAAAGCTGGATCAAATAAATCAATAGATTTTGCATGCTGATTTCGAGGTTATGGGAGCCACAGTAGTTTGCACCAACAGCACACCTTAAATCTATCTGGATATATCTTATTTCCGAGAGATTGACTTATACTGTGGGACATACAACTACATAACAGAAAATAGAGTATATGCAAGCTCTTAAGAACGAAAGCTTAACGACGCAAGCTGAAGACGACGAGATTTAGGAGAAAGAGAAAATTGAAAACACAACTCCCCTCGGCGAGGACGAGCCACGCATACCTCGGCAACGAGAAAGTCAACGATAACGCACGCTATATGAAAGATTTAGGTCTCGATGAGAGGAGCGCCCACGTTCTCCGCGGAGTTGTCTCTTGTGTCCTTGGCCGGAAGCTTGCGTGCGGAGCGGGCGTAGAACTCGTCCAGAGTCCGCTTGGGGATACGGTTGAGCAGTTCCTTGGGGTAGATGCGGAGCAGGTTCCAGGCGATGTCGAGAGACTCGAAGATGGTCCGCGACTCGTAGGGCCCTTGGCTGATGAAGGTGCGCTCGAACTTGTCCAGGAACTCGAGGGAGAGCTTGTCTTCTGACGAGAGGGCTTCCTCACCGACGACGGCTTTCATGGCGGCTGTGAATGAGGTGTCAGTGCGCATCCTAATAATGATGTCGGGGATTCTGTCAAGGAAAACTGACCGGCATCTCGTCCAATAGCGTACTTGGCATACAGCTGGTTGGACACATCGGAGTGGTCTTTACGGGTACGACCCTCACCAATGGCAGATTTCATGAGACGTGATAGAGAAGGAAGGACGTTAATGGGCGGGTTGACACCCTTGTTGTACAGTTGACGATCGACGAAGATCTGTCCCTCGGTAATATAACCTGTCAAGTCGGGAATGGGGTGGGTGATATCTGGAGGGGACCGAATCAGCACAAACTGCTAAGGGAACGCAAAAGAATCTGCTTACCATCGTTAGGCATGGTAAGGATAGGAATCTGAGTGATAGATCCGTTCCGGCCCTCAACACGACCGGCACGCTCGTAAATGGTCGACAAGTCAGTGTACATGTAACCGGGGTAACCACGACGACCGGGAACTTCTTCTCGAGCAGCGGAAACCTCTCGAAGGGCATCACAGTAAGCCGAGAGATCAGTCATGATAACCAGGACGTGCTTCTCAAGCTGGTAGGCGTAGTACTCGGCAGTGGTCAAGGCAAGACGAGGAGTAATGATACGCTCGATTCTGGAGAACGGTTAATCAAACAAGACAGGAAACCGGAGCAGCACAGACAAACGTACGTAGGATCGTTGGCCAAGTTGAGGAAGAGAGTGACACGCTCCATACTGCCATTCTCCTCGAAATCCCGGGTGAAGAAACGGGCCGTTTCCATGTTCACACCCATAGCTGCGAAGACAATCGAGAAGTTCTCTTCATGCCCATCATGGACGTCCTTGGTGGGCTTCCCGACCAGACCGGCCTGCCGACAGATCTGAGCAGCAATCTCGTTGTGTGGAAGACCGGCCGCAGAGAAGATGGGAATCTTCTGACCTCTGGCAATTGAGTTCATCGTATCGATGGCGGAGATACCGGTGGAGATCATTTCCTCGGGGTAGACCTGGAGTTCGCACGCATTAGCTTCACCATCTGCAAGCTCTGCCATTGCCGATGACTGAGGGTCGGATACATACTCGCGAGTAGGGGTTAATAGGTTGACCGTTGATATCCAGATAATCTTCCGCCAGAACCTTGGGGCCCTTGTCTATAGCACGACCTGATCCATCAAACACACGACCCAGCATGTCCTCGGACACACCGAGCTTCAAGCTGTGGCCGGTGAACTCGACTTTGGTCTAAGCACGACGGCAGTCAGCAGCTGATCCAGCTTCGATAAAACTCCACTTTTATCATCCAGAGTCCAAATCTTTACCTTTTTAACATCGATGCCCGAAGTACCCTCGAAAACCTATAGTAAGTCGCAAAACCGTATGAGCACCCCGCATGACAAAAACCGAGCTTCATAGCCTCGCATTATCGGGTTGGTTCACACCTGTACAACTGCTCTGTTGCCTATTCATTCGTCCCAGATATCAGCCGTCACGAACGGGATATATGTATCGTGCTAAACGCCAGGGGTAAAGTCATACCTCTAGCTTCAAGGACCTGACCCGACCGTTCTGTCCCGTCGGGAAGAGTCAAAGAGACGATTTCATTGTAGCGGGGAAATTTGACCTTGTCACAGCAAAGTCAGCATGTCATTCCGTTCATGCTGCAGATAAGTTTGTGTCAACGCTGCGACCCCAGGCCAATTACGTACGTTATCAAGGAAGACCAGCGGACCGTTGATACCTCCGATGGTGTTGTAGCGGATGCGAGGCTTGATGTTGGTCATCCTCGGGTCGACGAATTCGGCCATGGCTGCAGGATCCTTGGCGGACGACCGTTAAGAGCTGAAGGAAGCTATAAGAGAGGGGGATGAAAGGTCTGGAAGAGCTGCTCCTGACGAGGAGGCCAAGTAGTCGTCCGTAATCGATCCAAGAGGGATCCACGCCCGCAGCTCCAGCTTGGCGGTGACGCATGCACGTGATGATCCTCCGCTCCGTCAGGATGATCTCTCGCGACTGTTGATTAATTATGTAGGACAATGGAGTTTCTTGGAGAGAAGGATCTACTTGTCATTAATTATTAGGATTTTCTCATTGAAAGGGCTCAGCCCCGTGTACGATGGTATCCTCATGCTCTGACAACATAAAAGTTGGGATACAAATAGAGTGTGATGCTCAAAAGACAACAAGGTAAAAAGATAGCCAGCAAGAGCAGATTGCAGATGCAAAAATCATCCTCGCCCCCTATGGTAGTAGATCATAATCATACACAGCAAGAAAAAAAAAAAAAAGTCATCATTATGGGAATATGAAAAAAAAAACGCCCGCCATGCATTATGGCACCATGAGGACACCACCGTAGAAAGTATCGTGGAAGCCATGAGACTCGTCGCACTCTAATCGACCTTGGCAAAAGCTAGCTTCTTTGGTGTTGCAAGGTTGTTGGAAAGGCGAACAATTGTCTTCTTGTTCTTTGTCTGCTTTCGTAATTTCTTGCGTGCCACCATGACCGGGACAGATGAGTTCATGACCAAATAGTTGGAGAACGATCCAAGGAGAACACTGCTCAAGCAACATTATATTAGCTTCCGATAGATGCAGACTCGTCCTCTCGAGCGACTCACCCTTTCAGAGCGCTTCGGCCCCTAGCTCCCACAATAACAAGCGTAGGCTCGAGACCGTCAATCTAGTGGTAGACTGGTCAGTATATCTGGACAAGCGGGGTTCGTGAACTCATAAGCGCAAGGACGGGCACGTACAGCTTCTGTGATCATATGTTTTGGGCTCTTGCAGTGAATCACCTCGACGGCAACTCGGACTTGCAAAAGGGTCTTTCTGAGCAAACGGACACAGGTCTGCGAAATAATCTCCACCGCACGGTTTCTCTCCCCTTGGCCTTTGGGCACACCCCGGGCATCGACAGAGCTTGGTTTGCTGTCCGTACCCTGTCCTAGACGACCCAACAAGGTACGAGGCAGGTTACTGGTAATTGAATCATTCTGTGACTTAAAGACAGTTTCTTCCGTCTGGGAACCAACAATGGCGTCTGAGTCCTGCATTGCTTGGGCGCCCTCTCCGATCTGTACCGACGTGAAGGGAATGCTCAGCTCCTCGTTAACTGCACAGACAGCAAACATGGTGTCTCCGTCCCGGAGAATGGTACCAATTGTCCACTCCAGGGCGTAAACAGACTCTTCGCTGAGGTCAGTAGCTACTAGATACTTGCGCTGCCGGCGACGTCCGCCCTCGCTCTCTTCCTGTAGTCGGGCGAAATCGCCTCGAATGATGGTTCTAATCGATCGGTTGGGGACTGAAGTGTCAATAGCGGACATTTGCATGGTGAGTTTCTGCGCTCGCTTGATATCCGACAATTCCGCTTCGTCGTCGGATCCAAATGGCGTGCTGAGGCCGGAACCAGGATCAAAGCTCGTCCGCGGATGAACATCAAGCATATGCGGGCCCTGTTTTGCAGAGTGCACCAGAGTAGGCTTTTGATCTGAGAGAGACGTTGCTTTCAACTTCTCCTCAATCACTTGGTCGTCTATGAAATGTCTGTCAGTATGCGGAAGCCATAGGGACCCCAATGGAGCAATACACACGCTCATCCGTACCACCATCTACCTGCCCTAGAGTCGGCGCTTGATCGCTTGCATTCGGAGCTTTCTTTCGGCCACGCTCGATCTCACTATCGCTGTCGTCATCACTTGACGACGACTCATCGGGTTCATCTTCGCTGCTGTCCATTGGGTTGTTCTCGCTATCATACAAATCTTTGGCCAAGCGCTCATCCCCAGTGGATGATGTAGCTGTGTTAATGTCCGGCTCTGGAGATTCACTCTCCTTAAGGGGCGAGGTCACACTGGTGCCAGTGCCGACCGACTGCGGAAGCGAGGAATCCGAGTGATTAGGATGGGTGTTGTTCATGGGGGATAATTTTTCCTTGGGCGTCGCCGGCTTGCTCGGCTTTGAGGATGAAAGGTTCAGCGGGTTAGAACCGAGCCAGCGATTCTGGGAGCCGGACCGAGCACGTCGTTGAGGAACTCGAGAGTCGAGTGACGCCCCCCGGGACGAGCTCTGTCGGGCGGGCGTCCTTCCTCTGGAAAAACTTGGGAGGCTGACTTTCAAGTCAAATCCCGACATCATCGCAGCCATGGTGCTCTTGCTCTGCTTGCGGTGGTTGGGATCCCTCGGTTCCCTCGGAGGCTTCTCCGGTAACTGAATTTGTATAGTACGCTTCGGTAACACCGGCATCTCGTTATTGTCGAGTTTATTTCGGTCTACTAATTTTCTCTTTCCGATCGAGATTTGATCCGAATTGTCCGAAGCCCTGCGAGCTGCAGACGGTTCTGATTCACCGGGAAATCTCTTCAAAGAAGCGTACGATGTTGCGGTTCCTGGAGCACCAGAGTCCGACGTTGATGCAGATTCCGAAACAGGACCTGCCCAGCTGCGACGATTATTAGAAGGAGAAGTCACACCAACCCCAATACCGGCGATAGATCCATGGCGCGGAGGTAATATATCAGGAGATGGAGCAGTGTCGAGCTGGCTCCGCAACGGGGCCGCTTGGGCTGGGGGCCTTCGGTTAGACGACGGGCCGGATTCGAGAAGCTCATCTTCGACCCATTCAAGACGTTCCGACTCCAGAGCACCCGCCAGAGATGACGTGGCTCGTCTTTTCGTCTTGTTGTATGCTCTACTATTGTATGCGGCCATTCTGTGTCGTTCCGCCCGCGGCGGTTTGACAGCCGGGGTTAGATATTTGATAATATGCTTTTAATGTTTGCAAGACTTGGCCAAGCGTCGAGGAATGTGGAGAGAGATCGACCAGCCCACGATGATTCGTCAGTTTCGCCTTTCTGGCTGATGTATACGTACTCGAGTTCCGCTTTCAGGACCAGAAGCTCGCTGCCTTTTTGCTGCAGGAGTGTGAAGGCTGAGACCTTGACAGGCCAGCCAGTGTACTTGCTTGGCTGACAATGCTCTGATCCGGCAGAACCACAACACGGAAGGGTGCTGTAGACAAGAGGCGCCTGTTTTCTCCGCCCCTCAGATTCGAGAATAGATAGGGGCAACTAGAGGACTGCAGCCACTCGCAAGAGAAATTTGCGAAAACGAGCTGCAGTTTGAAATGGGACAGATATCTTGGTCTGTCACAAACGCGGTAGGAATCACCCACGGCTTTCTCCGCAAAACGCCAAGAGAGGGAGTCGAAACGCGCCACAGACAACTACCGCACCGAGGCTGGGTAGATCGAGATAAATTAAACACGAGCGATGTGGTTTATAAGTTGGAAGAGATGAGGGGCTTACAGGGGTCATAAATAATACCAAAAATGGGGTTGCCTAGAGAAATAGGGAGGAACACAAAAGGTTCTGCCCGCTGTCACACACTGTCGGGCTGGCACGACTGTCCAAAAGGCTCGGCATAGCGGGGCATCATATCATATACAGAGCACATGAGGCTGAGGCAATTATTGCTCTGCCCTTCAGACGAAGAGAGAAGAGAGGAGAGACAGGGTTCTCATCATCTTCATTCTACAGATATCCCTTGCTTAATGTCACAAGGCTTGGTGATCATGGAGAAGAGGTTCCATGGTTTTGGTGAAGTCTGTGAAGCCTAATTGCCAGAGGGTAGCATTCCGAGCGGGTAATAATAAATAGTTTCTTACCGCCACAGTATGCAGTGGGGATTGTCTATCATAACGGCTTCGGATTGAATCAATGCTATGTCCTTGAAAACATAGAAAGCATACGGTGAGCGTAGGATTTATCTGGCCTGTCTGTATTTACTTGTGTGGCCATTTGAGGGCGGGAGATTGCCGCAAATAATGCATCACATGCTGAATGCGGATCAAAAGTGATCAACCGTACAGGAGCAATCAAGGGGCGCCTGATAAAAAGCAAATACCGGGGTATGCTACCATTGACGGCAATACTCCGTAGTGATCATGGAACAATGATGGTCAGGCATTGTGTCCTGCTACATATGTAATACCATGTTATTCTTAGCAATTAGCATCATAGAAACACCAGGTTACCTCCAGTTCGCTCAAGATATGATATGCAATATGATGTGCAATCCTCCCATAAGATGTCCACCTCCTCCCAAAGGTTCATGTAGAGACCTGCCAAGTACCAAAGACTCCCGACGCCGGTCGCAAAAGGACAAAAAAATAAAAAGGGGAGATCCCAAGTGGACTGCTCACGCTTTCGACTTCTTCGTCTTCTTGGAACCCTGACGAGCAGCGGTGGCAGCAAATGCTTCCTCGGGCGGCTCCTCGAAAAGAGTCTTCCGTTTCTTGCGCTTGCCGTCGCCTTCCTTAAGCGTCTCCGCCTCTGTCTGCCATTTTTCTATGAGCGATTCCATGCGATTGGCTTGCCGTTGTTTGATGGCTGCAGCGAGATCACCAAGATCAGAGACGTCCTTCGTCTTGGTCTTCTTCTTCGTTGTCGTCGCCTTTTCCTTGACTGACGTCTTCGGTTTCTTCTTCTCCTCCAGCTCCTTGGCCAGCTCCTCAGCTTCCTTTGCTTCTTGCTGCGCCCGCTTGATTCTCGCCTGGCGCTTCTTTGCCGGCTCATCTGTGTACTTCTTGTAGCCCTCCACCTTGCCTTCGGCAATAGCCTGGTCAATAATGGCGCGGAACCGCTCGTCGTCATCGAGCACATTGCTCAGCATCACCGACTCGTAGACGCGGTCCATGTCGCCTCTGTAGCGGTCGAATGCCTCCAGGATATCCTTCTCTTCTTCTGCAGAGCCCTGATACTCCTTCTTTATTTTATCAATTGCATCCGTATCGACCGAGTTCGAG